AGAGACTGCAGATGGAATTTTAGCTTTGACGACAACAAATGGGTCACCGAGCCTCTGATAATTCAAGGACACTGTGGTTCCCAGGTGGAATTATACAAATAACACCTGGGAACAAGTTCTGCCCTTTTCTTTAAACCTTTCTCATAGATATCTAAATGATTGCAGCCTTTTCATAGAAGATCACAGGTGGCCCTTTTTCAGAAAGACTTCAGTAGAGGAGTCGAGTCCTGTCCTGTCAGGGAGACGTCATTCTTCAGGGGCGATCGAGGTCAAATTTAATTATATTTGAGATCAAAGCATTGATGTTGTCCTTGACATGAACAACAAACATGCAAAGAAGTGCATAAAGGTCTCACGTGGATACTCATAACTGTTTGGGAATTCATGAAAGTAAGGGTAAGAATTCTGGAAAGTAACAATTTGTGTAAAACATCAATGATCAAGTCACAACGATTAAATATACCTGACTCATTCTGCAAACTTGTGTCCCAGGCAAAATTCTGATGAAATACATGTATAGTTCTGTAATCGGGGTGTCAGCCTTTGACCTTCAAAAGATGTTCGGTGTGTTGTTGACTCTCTGTTAATTAGACAAGACCTGCAAAGGCCTGGAGAAGCTTGGATCGCAAATCCACTGTCAGTGAGCAACAGCATTGCACAGGGATCACGTCCAAAAAGCAATAGCACATCACAGAGGTAGTGTCCTGATAAAAAGGACATTTACTTTGATAACTTGCAGATTTTTCTCAACATTTTGAGCATGGGTCATTTTCACTGTATTTAGGGTTTTTGCATGCATAGCTTTGAACCTGTAAGGGCTGTGACATTACCAGGTTAGGCCTCTGGACTGTGGAATGGAGGGCTTGAGGGTTCAAAACCCAGGTAAGATACTGTTGTACCTTTGACCTTAGTACTGCACCAGTAGCTGTACTGGGGACAGACCAAACAGCAAAGACAGAATGTGGAATTTTCCCTATTTCACAAGAAATCCTGCTGTAATCAAGGTTCGTTCTGACCATAGTTCCTTTCTGTAGAAGAGTGTGGGTGCTGCCTCCTGCAAACACATGCTGTGAAAAGACATTTGTTTCTAATTATCACCCCTTCTCTGACTGTTGCCCACTGCAAGTCAACTAGTAAGTAGATCGCTACGCTTGACCTCTTGCCAACAGGAACATCGGTCTTTTACCTCGAGTGATTGTACAGCTTGGTCACTCTGGGACTCAGTGCTGGTGTACCCTGGGCAGGGTATCTCTCTCAGGTCCCTCTAGTCAGTACGCAGCTGTGTAATGAGTTTCCAGGTCGCCATTGCCAGGGATAATCTGAGTTCAATCGACTCACCAGGTTAAATAAGGACCTAACACCTTCTGCAACCTATGTCTCTGGCTGGATATTGTGTGCCAACAAGTTTTATTTTTGCATTGGACAGAAAGACAAGCTCATAAATCATGAAACATGTTTCCTCAAACTATTCAAGTCACTCTGAAGAAATGCAGAAAACCTACAATTCTAAATATTTCAAATGCCATTTTACAACAGCTGGCAGGCCAGCTTTGAGCTGCATCATGCACAGTAGTCAGTTCTTGCCCCGAGGCTTTTGCTTAGCAAATGAGATGTGTTTTTTCTCTTTGCACAATGCTTGTCGGTTTCAATTCCAATAAGGACCATGGTGTAAAATATCTACATTTAACAAAATAAATGCAAATAGCAATTCAGACAAATCAACGATTTTGATTTGAAAACAAACCCCCACTAAAAACAATTAAACATAAAAAAGTACAGAAAGTAAAATAATTTCAAGAAAAAGCCTTTTTACTATTTGCATATATTTTGCAATGTCACTGTGTCTCTTTCTAACAGGGAAAGAATGATACCTTGGAAATATCCCATCACCCCAGTCTGCCAGGATTGCCCTTATTGACTAAGAAACCAATATTCTCCATTCTGCTATGATGTCACAGGCACCAGGATGTTTTGGTCAAGGGGCCATTGCGCTAGAGGGCTCCCAGCATTCCATGCTCTCTTTCCCCCCTGACCTTGCACAAGTGTCGGCAGGTCCTGAAAGCATGAGCTAGCTGGACGTCTAGATAAATCATGCAAATATCAACCCATTGTATTAAACACCCCCATTCTTTTGTGGTGTGCTCAGCTTTACATTTCACCCAAGCATCACACCAGCAGAGCAATCAGGTAAGGCAGCTGGCATTTGACTGCTGCCTGCAATTTGCATTTTGTTTGCGCTCTGCCTGCAAGAAGCAGATGAGCTGTGTGAGCTGACCTTTTTTTGTGGTTAAGCCTGATATTTACTCACGCAGCATTTGTGTTGTTTCCTGATGTGATCGCCTTAGCGCCTCTAACTGTAGGAACTGCCCCTTGGTGGAAAAGGAGCAATACACATAGATCTGACTTACCAGGTGAGAAAAAACCCCGCTCAGTTGTTTGTGTTACGGGGGATGTCCGACCCAGGTCCAGTAGGGAAATAACTATGTCATTTCACAATGCATTTCTTCCGCCTTCATACAGTATAACTCTTCCCTTGTAGACACAGTCTGAGTTCCCCTGCAATGTTAATCCCACTAAGTGAAAGTGATGCCAACAGTCCTGTGCTGCTCAAGGAGAGGCAACAGAGGTCAATACTCCCAATTCCAGAGCAGAGCATTGTGGGTTCAAATCCCAGTGTGGGCACTGTTGCTGTCATTGCGAGCCAGGCACGCAGTAATGACTACTGGGTAAGAGGCTCTCAGGGTCATTCCTCTAAATGAACATTTGTTCTCATTTAATCTTACCTGCTGTAGTAGCTCTGACAGCAAGGGGGCATCTAGCTCCTGATTGGAAGGTCCTGGGTTCAATCCCAGGTAGGGGCAAGTGATTGATGAAGCTTGCTCTAACTCCTTCCAGACGGCTCCCAGGTCCACCCAGCCTGCTTCCCAAATGAGTATCAGGGGTTAATCCTTCCTGGGGTAATAAACCGACCAGAGTGTGATGCTGACCACATCACCTCCACCTCCAGTGTTGGATGGTTGAGAAAAATTGTGGCCCTTGACCCCAATCCCCCATGGGCCTTTATGGCCTGAAAAGGGGACCTCACCTACCTTGGTCTTACCTGCTAAAATGAATAAGTGGTGTATTATTTAACTAAAGCCTGCAGATGCTCCCATTAACTGAGACAAAATGATCTTAACCTTATGCAATCAGACATCAATAGCACAGGTGCAGTACAAAGGGAAAACTGTATGATTCCACTGTATTGGGAGAGGAGTGTCTTGTTTTGAATGTGACATGACTATGATGAAGCAATGAAGCACAAAATCCATAATCTGACAAATGTTTGATAGCTGTCTCGATATCAGCGTCCACATTTCTTGTAGAAATAAATGGTCTCCTTTCGGATGGATTTACAGCACATTTTAGGGCATCCCTGCAATTAAGTCAACACGGTAATAAAGGAGACTTGAATTTCAATCTTCTTGCAAGTAACAAATACTAGATGCAGTTTCTCCCTCAATTTCCAGTAGCAACATTATGAATCAACTCTCTTCATCGGCTATTTTAAATCCTCAGTATCAGTCATACAGCGTATGTTCTATTTTGCAGTGAAATGGCCTGTGCTTCTCTTCTCTCTGTCCCTTTTTTCCCCAGACAAACGAGTTTTCGAGACACACCAGGCGCTGCTCGTGCAAGGGGCCCAACACACCAGGAAATCACTGTCTCTTCTCCCATGTTCGTATGGGCTCCCTCCAGGTGCTCTGGTTTCCTCCCACAGCCTAACAACATACTGCTTGGTTAATCGGCTCTGGTGTGAGTGAGTGTGTGTCTGTCTGTGATGGACTTGCACCCCATCCAGGGTGTGCCCTGCCCAGTGCCCACTGCTCGCCGTGACAGGCTGTGGCGCCCCTGCAATCCTGAACTGGATACCGAGAGGTTAGAAAATGCATGGATGGCTGGTTCTTCTTGACAACAGGGCGCTTGATGAAAATGGATTACAGTGCACTCTTTTAAATAATACTGAGTGGATTTCAATTCACTAACAACACAGTTTTAACTGAGCAGTGGTTGAAATACTGATGTGGATCATAACTGTAACGTATATACTATAGATGTACACTCAGGTATGGAAACAGAGAAGAACGATATAGAGTTTCCGTCTAATCTGCATAAGAACTTTCTTAAAAAAGGCATAATTTAACCTTTATAATGAGACACAATTTTATGCATTTCACCTTGTGTAACAAAAGGTGAGTTAGAGTGACAACACGATTACTCCGGAGTTTTTTTTTTTTAGCATTGCCATTAAATGAGTGACACAATTTGAATTATTAACACCCTAGTTAATGTCCAAATGCCTGAAGGTCCAACACTCCACAACACGACAGAAAAGTTTAGAAGGGAGTAAGCCGTTCCATAAACGTCACATGAAATGCACCGCATGTTCATTGCAAAATCAAGTCGATAATAAAAAAAAAAATCTACAACTGTAATACGATTATCCACTAGAGCACTGTGGTGCAATAAGGTTACAAAGCATTGGAACAATGAGGTCGCGCTAGTAGGACATTTAATTAATTGCATATTCCTGAGAGCCCTGGTCTGTAGAATTGTATTGAAGGCCACTGAGCTGATGTGTACAGCCTGAGCTGATATTTCCTCATGTGTACCTGTTTTTTTTTCATTAGAGAATGAAACGCAGCAACACTTTCTTTTGTAACAAAAAGTGCCAGCTGCCTTCCAGCAGGAGGAGCAGGAGCGGGTCGCGGATTGGACCACGACAGGAACAGGTTGAGAGGGGGAAAATCACGTGGTGCCAGCGCTCCGGGACTGGCGTCACCGCCTTCATCTCCAAGCAACCTCTCCATCACCGCTCGCGTCAGCGCCTGCGGAGCCGCACAGTTGCCCGGCAACTCGTGCTTTGCGCTCTCGCCCGGCCTTGCGCCCTGCTCGAAACTCTGACGCGGGTGTGACGTTAATGAGGTGGGTATCAATTTGTTATGGCAGGGGGAGGGGGTGGAGTTTCCCAGCCGGGTATTACAGAGTAGCTTTCCGCGTGCCTGTGGAACGCACAGAAAGTGCCGACTACAATGTAGCCAGAAGTGAAGCACAGTTCGAAAAAAAAACAAAACGGCTTGTACATAAACTGCACCTCTGTATATATTTCACTAAGTTCCTTACTGGCTTGTTCAACTCCATTGCACCTTTTGTTTTTATTTCTTCGGCGCGCAAGATTTTAGGAAGTGCTCTTTCGTCAGGATATTCAAGAAAAGGACTTAACTTCACGTACGCAGCGAGGAGTTTTTTTTTTCTTCTGTCCGGGTAAGTCAAGGTTTTCGGCACCTCGACGCTGAATGGATAACGCCTCTTAGAAAAGTGGACGAGGCCGAGAAAGTTAACTTTTCCCCTCACTGGTTCTTAATCGCAGTTCCGACGAAAACCGTAGGTGAGAGTCAAGACGGCGAAGTGCTTGACTTTATCTCCAGGTCAACATAGCTGCGCCGCGCTGATCACTTTCGGTTGATTGTATAGATGTGTTTAACCAGCCATCTGAATCCATTTTAAAAGTATTTCTTTACAAACAGTTTTTTTGTGGTCAGTTCTGAAGTGATAGCGATTATACAGCAAATCGAGTGTAGTTTGAACCAAATTAAATACAGAAAATGCTCATTCGGGTGTTCACATATTTCGTTTTTTTTGGTTTTTCAGGCGTAAGGTCTGGTAGAAAACACATTGCAATACTGAACACAATACGACACCCTGCGCCATGGTGATCATGTCTGAATGCAGCCCGGAGCCCGTACCTACCCAGCCTCACGGAAGGCCCTTACAGGTCGGCTTTTACGAGATCATTAAAACGCTGGGGAAAGGCAATTTCGCCGTGGTCAAACTGGCCAGGCACAAAGTTACCAAAACACAGGTGAGCACATGCACGACGCGCCGTCCTGGTTCCCCACTTTTTTGGTATAGGGACTAGGTTTATGTTCTTGTGAACATATAACGTATATCTTGTAAGCAGATAGTGTAAAGCTGTTGGTAACAGCTGCAATTGGGAGGACAGGAGTCTGTAACGAAGTGTTAAACCGGCTTCCGTATGATAAATCCATCTCGTCCGTACTCGGTTTTTGTCTTCTGTTGAAAGAAACTGACCCATTTGTCCTTAACGCAGGTGGCCATTAAAATAATAGACAAGACGAGGCTGAATTCCTCAAACCTGGAGAAGATTTACAGAGAAGTTCAGATCATGAAGCTGCTGAATCACCCTCACATCATCAAGCTGTATCAGGTGAGCTTGCCCGGTCTTGTGGAGCGCATTGTCTGTATGTGCACCACTCCTGTGACAGAAGTGGCCTGTGGTTAAGCTACAGTTTCAGGTTGAGTCAGTTTTGTTCTGGGTCTGTAGCAAGGGAGGCTTGTGGGCTGAAAGATAGTTTGGAGGAGGGAATGCTGCTTGCGTCAACGCCAAGCTAGTTAGTTACTCTTTGGTGCTGATGATCGAGGTGCGAGCTGTCGCAGGAGCCCTGCAGCTTGAAGACACGGAGAACGATGAGGCGCTGAAGGGCCCCGTGATTTCCTTTGCATTGGCCTTTGCTCACTGGCAGTTCAGGTGGCAGTAGCCAAGTCAGTGCGACAAGGACAGGGCTCTCTTTTCTGGTTATTCCCGATGTGTGTCTTTGTAGAGATTGTGCACGGTGAACGAGCAAAATTAATAGATAGCCTTCCCGTTTGTGGAAACGGAGCGGAGAAAGCATGAATCTTTTCAAAGTTGAGGCACTGCAGAGTTTTTCTTTTTTTCATTCGGAGTGGCATTAAGTTCTGTGGTCAGAGGGATTGTGTTTTTCCTCAGCGTGTCCATGTTAGTGGGGTTTGCCATTAGGCAGTTGTGTGAAGGGTGTTCTGCACACCTTGCACAGTGAGGAATTACTAGCAATCCTGCGTGACCTTTCTGGCTGCCCTTCTCTGAGCCTTAGTGAACGTGTCAGGCTCCAGGGATGAGGAAGAATTAATTGTTAGGTTTGTAATGCCCACAGCCGTGAGGGGGGGCCCTGAAATTGGTGAGCTCATAGGTGCTGTGGGCATGAGGGATCACGGGATGTGTGAGCAGTGCATTTGCACAATGGGAGAAGGATTGGGATTGCGTCGAGATTTTCTGTGGAGCAAAATGAACGTGTGTGTGTACAGAGACAGTCTGAAGATATACTCCCAGGAGTAAACATTTCATTTAAGCAGTGAAACATATTTAAATGCCCTCAGCGAGTGAGAAGTCTTCAAAATCAGGTTTTCAAATGTGCGGCATTGGTTTCAATCCTAAAAAATAAATTCAAAAATGAAACCCCAGCTCTTTTAGTGTTGGATTTACCCTGTCTGAAATATTTGTCGTATTCTGAGTGAGACCGTGTCGGAGTGTGCTTGGAGAATGTGCGGGAATGAAATAGCCCGCAGGTGCAGGAATCAGGGTCAGAGCAGACGCCGGGCTGGGGGAAGAATAGTGCTGCTAGACAGAGAATACTCTGTCTTCTAAGGCCAGACCACCATAGATTCAAGACAATCAAATTCAGCCGTCAAGAGCATTATCTGCATCGCAGCCTCCCCTCCACACAGTGCGCTGCACATGGGCTGCAAGCGCGTTGCAGGTTTCCCTCCTAGCCCTGCTTCAGATCAGCTTTCAGATTGCAGCTCCAGGGACCGCAAGGTCAAGGCGTTTGTATTTGACTAGGCAAGCAGATATTCTCTTGCTCGCAGCGCTATTAGTCTGAAATCGCACTTGCTCCTTTTGATTCGACCAGATCATCACAGAGCAAGGTTGGAGTTCTGCTTGGTGTTGTATTTGGTAGTTAAATTCGTAGCCACCTGCTCTCTGTGATTTACCTTTAGCCCAGAGATGAAGGTCTGTGGGTGTGCACATCATTCAAAATAATCCCCTCTTCTTTATTGGCTTGTAAATGTGGTTAGATCAGGGGAGGTTAGAGTTCCTCTTCTGGCACATCTGCTGGGTTCAGCATCTGCACACTGCCATACAGACGCTTTGGGTTCAGTGGTAGCTGTCAAGCCCGTCTTTTTCTGGCAAATTCCTACCGCTTTTATTTTCAGATCTCGTTTTGACCACCCCCCCCCCCCACACACACACACGCACACACTTTCATACTCAGATATATTTGAGTTTTCTTAGAAGCAAGAGCTACCCAGTGTAAATCTCTTTTTCATACTGTAGCACCAGTGCAGACTCAGTGAGCACAGCTGGGACAGGAGGGGAGGGGGGCTATTTGTGTTGGACGTTCCTGTCATTTCCTTAAGGCTGTAGTCTTTTCCGCTGTGGATGCAGTAAGATGTCAAGTGGGGTTACACGCTGCTGCTGTATTGGGATGTTGCAGTCCCAAACACATACTTGTGCAGGAACGAATGTGTGATTTAGTAAGGTATTAGAAAGCATCATGACAGTACAGTACATTACAGTTTTCTGAAAAGGATGTTGAGACATGAGCAGTGCGAGTTTATGCCCAATATAAACGAAATGTATTCATCACCATGTCTTCCCGCTTAACAATACAGCAGACGACAGAAATAAGTGATGTGTGTCTGCCTAACCGAGACGCTTCTTCAGATGTCTGGAAGAAGGGCTTTGCAAGCAGAGGTCAACAATCAGTTTTAGTGTCTATTCAGAAATAGAGCTTTGGACATTTTCCAAACACAAATACATCAAACTCTTGCAAAGGAAACCATAAAATTCAAGGATTGTTTCAAATTCAAGGTTGTGCTGGCTGGGCTGTCATTTCAAAAATTAAGTTTTCTTATTCTCAAAACTGTTGCTTTTTTAAAAAACAACCAACCAATTAACTGTTACATTTCTAAACCTTTAAAACATTTTAAATGTTAAATTTTGTTGTCTTTTGTTGCAGGTCATGGAAACGAAAGATATGCTGTATATTGTAACCGAATATGCGAAGAATGGAGAAATGTTCGGTAAGCTGCTTTGTGTGTATTCTATGCCAATAAAACTGCCGCCTTCTCGGAACGAAGATCTGGGATTAGACACCTCAAGGAGGAATCGGGAAAACACCCTGTGGGTCTCAGTCCTCCTGGCTGATGATCAGGCAGATGCAAATAGAGCTAGATTTTTTGGAATCACATCTCGCAAAGAAATAATTAGCACAGAGAGTGCTACAAAGCATGTTAATAAATAGAGATTTTGTATTCTGTGTTGACTTTTAAAATTTTCCAAAATGTTTGAAAACCTTTTACTTCTTTCTTTTCCTCCAGATTACCTATCCTCCAACGGCCGGCTGAGTGAAGACGAGGCCCGCAAGAAGTTCTGGCAGATCCTGATGGCTGTGGATTACTGCCACAGACATCACATTGTCCACAGAGACCTCAAGACCGAGAACCTCTTGCTGGACGCCAATATGAATATCAAATTAGCAGGTAGGAGGGAACATAAGGACTGTTGCAAACAAGAGGAGGCCCATCCAACAAGATAGTAGTTTGTTGATCCCAGGATCTCATCCAGCTTTTCTGAAAGAAACCAGAGTATTGGATTTAACATCATGGCTGGGTGGCTTGTTCCATACTCCCACCCCACTTTGTGAAAAGGAAGTGCCTCCTGTTCTCATTTTTAAACGCACCACACCTTCAGGGCTTAACAGCCTGTGGAGCCAGAGACCAATCAGGGAAGATATGTACTGTTACTGAGGAACTGAAATATTAATATTTGTTTTAGTGCTCTAGTTGGAGAGGAGGTTTTTATTCTATTTGAAAAAATATCTGTTCCGTGTTTGAAAGGCCTTGCAAGAAAATTGTAATTACTTTAATTGAAAATCGAAGGAAACCCTTTTGCATCTTAGGCTTCCAGTTTTTCAGCTGTAAGGTGGGATAGGGTGTGACCATTCACTGAGTGTTCCTTCAAGTATAATGTCAAACACTGAGTAAGTCTTGTTGATCAGTAGTCACATGCTGTCTTACTGAATGCGATTCTTTTATTGGCATTTTAGACTTTGGCTTTGGGAACTTCTACAATGCTGGGGATCCCCTGTCCACATGGTGTGGGAGCCCCCCTTATGCTGCTCCCGAGGTCTTTGAAGGCAAAGAGTACGAGGGACCCCAGCTCGACATCTGGGTAAGAGCACTAGGCCTGACAAACGTGGTAGAATGGTCTTTGATTCGCTAGGGCTCTGCATTTGTTTAGAAATACATTTTCCTCCAAAGAGAGTTATTTGAATGTTCTCTGAACTGTCTCCACCCCTCCCCTCTCGCAGAGCCTCGGTGTGGTCCTGTATGTCCTGGTCTGCGGATCTCTGCCGTTCGATGGAGCCAGCCTGCCCGCGCTGAGACAGAGAGTGACGGAGGGCCGCTTTCGAATCCCCTACTTCATGTCACAAGGTAGCCATCTCCCCCTCCTCCCTGCCAGCCGCAGGCTCCCTGAGCGGGTCCTGATATCTCTCTGTGGCTTTTGAGTTGACACGTTGGCATTCTCTGCCTGGAAAAGAAATAACGCATCAAACTGAGATTTAAAAAAAAACGTCCAAAGATTTCATGGACATAGGAGCACAGAAGTCTTGTACTGGCATTCCTCAGGGCTGCATGTTGCAATAATAAATCTGAAGTTTAAAGATAAAGTGAACACATGAACAAGAAGTTCACCAATGGCAGTGACGATGTTAATACAAAAAAGAGCTGAGCTGGAGGAGATACTCCCGGAGCTGACTGGCGCTTTGCTTTTCCCAGACTGTGAAAACCTGATCCGGAGGATGCTGGTAGTGGACCCAGCCAAGCGCATCAGCATCGCCCAGATCAAGCAGAGCCGCTGGATGCTGGCTGACCCTACAGCACAGCAGCAGGCTCTGTCTGTGTCGATCACAGACTACAACTCCAACCTGGGAGACTACAGTGAGCCAGTCCTGGGCATCATGCAGACCTTGGGCATCGACAGGCAGAGGACCATTGAGGTAAAGGCAAAGGACAGTTGATTAGTATCAATAAAATGTGTTGGGCTGATGTCTTTATGCATCTACACAGTGTGTGTGGATGCAGTGGCATATTAAAAAGTGTTCGATAACTGTAAAAACGTTTGGGGTTTGCTATGAACTGCAGCAGTGTTAAAAAGTGAGGCTAACTGGTCAGGTGAGTTACTCACAGTGGAGAAAAATGTGACAGTGAAGGACACCTTATGGATAATCGCTATAATTAAGGATAATTAAATCAATACAATAAACTTTAATTGGAGGCATGCCACACCACCAGTAACATCCATTAAGATGTTCATAATTTGATAATGGGGGGAGTTCCATCCTAACACAAGCGAAAACATTTGGAAATATTGGAACCTGAAAAAATGTGCCAATAAAGATATGGATTTTTAAAGTAAGGTTGGATGTTCTCACAAGGCCCTGGGAGCCGTTGCGAACTGGTGCTGTTGTAGAGGTTCAGCGCTGTGCTGCTTAGTCTCATTTATTGAAGAGGATTTCTCTTTTTCTCCTCCATCCTAGTCGCTGCAAAACAGCAGCTACAACCACTTCTCTGCCATTTACTACCTGCTGCTGGAGAAGGTGCGGGAGCATCGCAGCAGCCAGCTGAGCCGCCAGTGCAGCACCCGACCACCGAGACACAGAAGCGGCCCCGACTTCGCCCCCGCCGAGGTGAGAGACGCAGAATACCGGCCGCGCGTCCAGATTGGCGCCCCCTGTAACCGAAACAACGCATTAAAAATGCCCCCTTCCGACCTGATCCATTGTCCGTATTTGTTTGTTTAGCTGTGTGCTAATTAGGTCATGATGTGCTTTCCCAGGCACCTCAAGAACCCTCCGACTGCCTCAGAACAGCCTGTCCTTTCCCAGCCGTGCAGAGCGCCCCCTATCACTCCGACGCTGATTGCGACTCTGCTGGCCTCTTCCAGGTAAGTCCAGTTGCTGTATCTTCCTGAATTTATATGGGCTTTTTTAGTCATCCTACAATGGTACTCTAATGGTCATTTCTTTAGATATAACTTTTGAAATCTGTGGGTTTTTTTATGCTCACAAAATATACAGTTTTGCATTTTCCATTTGAAATGTTGTAATTGAAAAAGATGCACCTGGCATTTCGATCAAATTAGCACTATTCAGATGCTTTAAGGCTGAATGGGGAGGGAGGATGAGTAGAGTCAAATGCCAGATCTAGGAATTGGTGTAATTAAAAGATTTAAGCATGACTTGCTTTCTGATAGTCTGATAGTTCATTACAAATTGAATTAAGTAGTTATAAAGCCAGTAGCAGCTGCAATGTAATAATTCTACTAATACACTTATTCTAAATTTTATGGACTATATTCTGATTTATTTTCAGGTTTGTGTAAAGTGTTCTATATTGAAAAGCTTGTGTTTGAATGTATTGAGTTGTATCAAACTGCAGATCCACATTAGGGGCAATGATTTGCACCGTGCCAAGCAGATACTCTGTTGCCTGTTGATGGATGTGGCTAATGTCCAGGTTTCCTCTGTCCTTCACTACAGAGGGTAGTGTTTCCACTTGAGGCCAGCTTGAACGGACTGTTGCAGAACCGCTCCATCTCACCCAACAGCCTCCTGGAGAACACCATTAGCGAGGAAGTGCGCCCCAGTGATCTGGAGGAAGAGGAGGGGCTCCAGGTGGCTGCACCTCTTTGCCCCCCCAACAACACTTCCCGGCGACACACCCTAGCTGAGGTCTCCGCCCACTTCCACCAGTGCAGCCCTCCCTGTGAGTAACAGTGGCAAGCTGTCCTGGACTGTGCTAAGAAACACTACTCCTTAAATCTATGCTTGTCTAGCTATAAACCCCTAAGTAACTGGCAACTTAAAGTGAGCCAAATACAAGTACAAATAAAATAAAAAAGTCTAACATAGCTATTACATCATACACTTTTTGTAGAAAATGAAAAGCAGTTGGCAATGAATATTTCAGCATCTGTGTTCCTCAGCAGGAACATATCACCTTTTAAGTTTCAGTGCCTGTAGTATCTTCATTTCTCTTAAATGCTTTGCTTGACATTGGCTTCCTGTCCTGCAGGTATCGTGGTCTCATCAGTAAACCCCTCAGAGGGAGCGTCTTCTGACAGCTGCCTGAAGTCCTCTATCAGCACTGGGCCTGCCCTGGTCAAAGGAGGCTACACAAACTTCCTCGCCTCGGCCGGGGGCACAGGAGCCTACATCCAGACTGGCACCCCCTTCACACAGTCCTCAACCCTGCTGCTGCAACCCCAGGGCTACCAGGCCACTGCCAGCCTCCCCGGCGCCAACTTCCAGGAAGGCCGCAGGGCATCGGACACCTCCCTCACTCAAGGTAACGATGAACCCCGGACTGGGAAGGCGGCCAGCGCTTGCCTTTTTAATTTGGAGTGTTTGAACGTTTAGAGCTGGGAAAGCAAGAGGAGGAAGGCAACGTGGTCCAGGCAGATAAGGGTTTAATCCTGAATGTCGTGTGGGTCCGCAGGGCTCAAGGCGTTCCGGCAGCAGCTGCGGAAGAACACGCGCTCCAAAGGCCTGCTGGGGCTGAACAAGATCAAGGGCCCGGCCAGGCAGGCGTGCCCCTGCCCCTGCCCCCGCGCAGGGCGCGGCGCTCTCGGCCCCTCGCTCGGCACGTCGAGCGACCGCCGGAGCCTGCTGGAGGAGGTGCTGCATCAGCAGAGGTGAGGAGACGCCGAGGGCCAAGCTTGCGTCCGGATCGGGCTGTGTTTATAGGAGCAAGAAGGCGATTTGGGGGGGGTTTACTTTGTGTGATGTGACTTGGCCTCTGTTCTCTTCACAGGATGCTTCAATTGCAGCACCAGCAGCAGCAGCAGCAGCCTAGCCTGTTTCTCAGCCAGCAGCCTGCTCCCCTCCCCTCCGGCCTGTTTCCCCCCGCCGCGCTGCTTTCCGAGTCGAACGCCCTCGACGCCACCCCCTTGCTCCTGCGGGGCTGTCACACCCCCGGCCCCCAGCGCCAACTCCTGAGCCAGCCGCCGGAGCGCCTGTCGCCCATCTCCTCCGCGGCCCACCTCCTGGAGGCCCGCCTGCACATCCACGGCGGCCCGACCTACCTCCCGCGCTTCTCCTTCCAGCTCCCGGACTGCGAAATGGAGGATCTCACCAGCAGCCAGATGAGCAGCTGTGTGCTGGTGAAGTAGACCAGGCAGAGAGGAGAGGGAAGTGCATCTTTTGTCCTGGCATGGATCTGAAAAACAGCTTCTCCAGCACCTCTGAACACATACGCAGATAGACATGTGTATTTATATGAATAAGCAATAAGTTAACACCTGTTGACAAAAACCCAGCCTTTCCTGGACAGCCTGAGAAGCAAGACTAAAGCAGGCTGAAGGTCGGGGATCCAGTTACATGTCACGGGAGTTTAAGACTGGTCTGACTTGAAATCCTAAGGGCCAGTGCGAAGGATATCCAGCGAGGTGCAGGAGCTCTGATAGGAGCATAGAAGGAGTCTGTCTTCCTGAGAAGTTCTGAGTGTAGGATTCAAGGTCTGCTGACAGACGTGGACCCTTATTTTCCACTCGGGGCACACTGTGGGCGAACCGCCCACTTCTGACTAAGTTAATGGTTGGCCCTTTGAGGAAACCGGGGCCCTAAATCTCTTGCTATTGTTGATTTCACTTCTTTAGGAAAGACCAAAGTTTTTTTTTTTTGAATTCTTGAACATGAACAGTATCAGCAGTTTCCAGTACTTCCTATGAACATTCTTAGAGAGCTGCACGTTTCTTTTTTTTCTAAGTCACAGTTAAGTCGGCCTTACAGAAATAAATCTTGCATTGGATTGGGTCTAGAGACAGTGACAGGTACTGCTAAAACTAGGGTATAGTATTTTAATAACTGAGCACAGCAGATACCCAAGTTTACTTGATGGCACCAGCTTTGCAGTGTTTGGACACTGTGTACCGATAAGCTATAGAATAACCATTAACCTGGTGTAGTTTATAAACTTAGTAAATGCATTAGCTATAATTTCAGTTTTCCTGCCTTCAGCCATATTGACCTGTAGGTCTAAGACAAACTTCTTGTCATTGAGATTGGAATTTGATATTGTGTTATTGATGATCTCTTGGCATCTGCAATACGTTTTCGCAGGTTTCAGAGTCATGGGCCAGACAAGAAGGTCTGCAGTATGGAAAACAGGGTTTACTCTTCTGTGGTACTTTGTATGCTATTTTTTTGTTTAAAGGTTTGGTTGCAATTGTGACAAAACACCATTGAACATGTAACAAATTGGTTCTAATACATACCGTTCATGGGGTTTTCATGGGGTGCTCGTTTCCGTTTGTTGAATTAATCTGCTGTCTTATGACCTCAGAAGATTGCAAGTTCACGTTCATACTAAATTGCTGTGGTGATGTAATGCTTGCTGAGATCTCTCCAACAATATGTTAGTGCTGGAGAGAGAGACTGTCAGTGGTATCTCACGAATCAACCAATCGAGAGCTTATCTCCAGGCAGAGAGATTCCTGATCCCACAATACCTTTAGATACCGTATCGCTACCTCTGTACTGCAGGTGACTCGGGCACGCTGCGCCCATGCTTCCTGACACATTCGGGTTTTTTCAGACGCAAAATCCGGGTCATCACGTTTGACTCTGGCATCTGCAATCTGCAGTGGAAACCAGTTCATGAATGCAACTTAGAGCAAACTTGATCATTACCTCAGTCTCGGCTTCATTCCGCTCTGCATGGCATCTTTTCCATCTTTTCCTGTCAGAGACCGCTGGGGTACTGTTTGGGATTGTTGTCCCCAGACAGACGGGAAAATTATAGTATTGTTATGTATCTGCTGGCCGCTCTGTATTAATTTTAAGTGTGACATCTTTGAAGTTGATCAGTTCCAAACCTCCCCCCCCCCTTGAGCATGGATATTTTGAAGCGCTATGTATGGTACAGCCACAGATCTGATTTGGTCAAGGTGTTGCGCTGGTTTCAAATGACCAAGCAATTGAATCTTCTAGAACATTGTAATGTCATGCAGAAAGAACCACCCCAATGCAACATTTATTTCACATATAATTTTTACATGATACATGAACAAATTAGCCATGTATTCGGCACTTTTGCAGTGGGATTGAAAACAATTTCTGCCTTTTCTCTGTTCAAAAATCCCCAGATTTTATTACCTCAGTTTAAGCTAATGATTTTTTTTCTGATAAAGCTTCAAGTGTTTCCTTGCAGAGATTTGTACAAACAGAACAAAGATGTTTTTGGGGGTGTATGTGTGCAATATTTTATGGTGAGATGTCGATGCAGAGATTATATATATATATAGAATTGATTTTTTTTAATTTGTCACTCTAAAGAATGTACTGGTTAGTTTCTTTTTCTGAAAAGAAACTGAAGCAAGGCATTTCCATGTTCGTTTCATAACGTATTGCTAGAGGAGAGCCCTGGTTTAAAACAATGTGATAGCCTAGAGAAGGCTACAAGTTAGCTCTACATGCTCTAGGTTCAAGCTTATTTTTTATTTTGCCTTCATGTCATTGGAAGCTTGTTTTGTAGCAAAAGGCAGTATTAGGACAAGCCAAAGTGACTCATTTGAAGTGCAGATTCTGTCTTTGCTAGACAAGTTACTAGGACTGAAAAGAACATTGAATATCAGAGTGCTATGTTTTGCTCTAGCTCATACTTTGGGGTGACAAAATGGGGTTTTCCTGTAAAAGGGCCATGGCTGATATACTTTTGAACTGCATGTTTTTAAAGTTGTTTTAGCTACAGGCTAACTGGATTCTGAAGGTTGCATTAGCTGAGATGGTAAGATGCAAGGAGAAAATACTCTTTTTCCCGCTCAGTAATAACCATGAATAAGAAACAACCCATATTGGCAAAGATAAGATTCACAGCCATCTTTGCAGAACTGGTTAAAAGCTGCTCAAAGGCCAGCATAGAAACAGCATTTTAGACGGATTTGAGCTGCACAGTGACTGGATAGTGATTTACATTAAATAATGCAAATTGTGATCATTTGTAGAGAGAAGAGTGAGTGTTGCCTTCACTTGATGCTGTTTAACTTGAAGTGAATTATGACTTCCACAGATTCATAATTAAAATCACTCCTGAAGCATGCTAACTCCTTAAGCATTTAACAGTGCTGCACATTGGATAGAACAATGTAAGGATTTTTTAGGTGTAAATAGTAGTGTTTTTTTTATTTGAAGGTTTGCTCTGGTTTATTATATGGCCTGTGGTTCTGCATTTGTTATACAGGACATTTCATTTTGTAGGGCTCACTATTTGAGTCTCAGTTTCTGGAATATCTGGAGAGTGTGCAGAATATGCTGATCTGAGGAATAAGCGTGCCTCAGAATAGCGTTCAGAAGCTTTTTACCACACTGCAATGATTACCTCTTGTTCAAACTGTCTTCCATAAATAGTACCAGTTTTGGTTGTTTTCAGGGTTAAAAGCTGAGCATTTTCACACTTTCCAGAAACCACTTGACAAGTTACACCAAATTGTGCTTCAATGTAGTGTGTAAATAATTTACAGTTGTGTCTTGGCAAATGACATGATGAAATGACTTGATAAGAATGCAGAATAGTTTTTAGTTAAAACTATCCAATGAAATCCACTTGATGAACAGTATTAGATTGAACATTTCACATGGTGGTGGTGTGGTCACCTCTAGATCTTCTGCTTGTGCCTTCTGAACAAATCAAAATAAAAAACAAATTCAGTCCCGCTCATCATTTGTCAGGCATGCTGAGGGTCTCTAAGCACATGTCAATGGTTTTCTCCAGCCATGGGCCATAGATTCCAAAGCCCCATTTTTTATCATAGTTTTTTTCTGACTTGCAGTGTATAAGAGAATGCACTTTATGACATGCTGTCTTCTCAGCTCGGAGTTGTTTGTTTAGGAATCATTTTGCAGAATTGTCTGAGTGTACAAGGAATGATGTAATACCATTTTTAAAGACACTAAGTGTTGATTTTTTGTTTGAGACATTTGGAACTTTCTTTTTATTTGACATTAAAGAAATCTTTATCTGATATGGAAGTGAAAGGTATGTAGGTTGTATTTATGTTGCTATTTATTTGAATAAAATTCACTTCTTACTTTGTGTGTATCACCCATTTTTTTAACCAAAAGTGCAACTTTTTGTCACTTTTAAAGTGACAAAGTTTTTCTCTTCACTGGTTTCACCCCTAACTGCAAGCCGGTTGGTGTCCCCCTTTCGCAGGGGTCTGTACCGAGTCCTTTACTACAGTATTAACACATTGCCTCTTGGTCTCATTTGCAGTCTAAACCCAGAAACGGGTGCAGGCTGCTTGGTTACAATCGGTGCTGGGTTGAAATCGGTGTTGATGGTGCTGAAAACAAAGCCTAGAAGGTTGTAAGAAACCTGTTTGTTTTTCTTTCGGCCCTGTGACGTCATTTCAAGAATATGTGGTGCCATCTTTCTTCCACCTGCATAACATATATATATATAAAACAATAGACCTCTGCTATGTTGATATGCTGAGGTTGAAATATTATTTAATGGCTTTATTTAATCAGGATTAGACTATGACAACCCTTTGCTAGGTAAGAACAGCTTCAGAATTAGTCAGTTCGTCAACTGAAACAACTCTGCAGTCTGCTGATTTGACCCCACACAGTGGGCGATAGTCTCATGTGCAGCTTCCTGTTTAGGGACCACCCCCCCCGAATCTGCAACTTTCAACACTTTCATAACTCACTTAAAGACCCGTTTCACTGCCAGTTTCACTGTCAATTCACTCTGCTTTTGTTCCTTCAATTATGTGGGTTAACGTACAGTGTAGAGTTTTTTTTGAAAAACGTATTAAAGTATGTAATATTCTTATTTACATATGAGACATTATTTTTTTTACATTAATCCATGTTTAAACATGTTAGTGTCCAGTTTATCTAGAAGTTTAATCATTAGTTCATTTATATGGTTAACTCAAAACCTTCCAAAGGAGAAAGAAACATCACACCACAGACAAATGAAGGAAGTAAAGGCTTTTGTCATTTTGTTGTCAGACCTCAATATTTGTTTAGACTGATGACAGAGCCCAATGTGAAGATCTGTCCTGCGTAATATTAGTTAATCTTAAACTCCATACGGCTTTACATTGAATAAAAATGAGTAAAAGTGTCAAGACATTTAAAATAAATATTGACCATGTTATGGTGAAACCATGTATTAAAACGGATAACATATAGAGCTGATCAAAACCGTTTAATAAGGTATACTAGCACAGGCTCTGCCCCATTGGTATTCAGAGCAGCAATCGCACAAGTGCTTTGCCTTTAGCAAGGAGTTTAGCAGTTTTCTACCAGGTTAGTTCACTTGTATGTTCTGGCGGTGTTCTGGTTTCCTCCCACAGTCTAAATACTTACTGGTAGGTGAATTGACTCCAGTGAGACTGGCACTTGTGTGAGCATGTGTGTCTGTGTCTGTGCCCTGTGAAGGAAGGGCTTGCGTTCCATCCCACCCATTGCTGAAATAAGCCCCTGCTCCCCCTTGACCCTGTCTTGGATAAAGCAGTTAGAAAATACTGTATATAGATCTCCCCTGAGGCTACAGGCTGGAAAGCGAGCTGAACTTTATTTGCTTCCTCTGAAATGGAGGACCACATCACCCTGCCATGCCGTACTCCCTCCCACTTCGTTCTTCTATTTCTGTGGGCCCAAATTAAAAATAATTTTTGAACAAAAAAATGTTCCCTTCCTTTCGAAGCCTGGCTCTGAGAGACGTCTCTTTCGTCTGCGGCTAAGATGTATATCTTGCCTTTACCAAACTGTGAACATCTCACATGACCAAAGTAAACCAATACAACTATTAATATGTAATCTCTTACGTGTTTGTGATCCGCTCGCCCATTCAGTAAGTTGGATATAAACAGAATGACAAGGACCTCCACTAGTCCTTTAGATGTCAACATAAGCCTGCTTTGTGGATGCTGCACATTGGTGGTGGTGGAGGGGAGTACCCATTACCTGTAAAGCGATTTGAGTGGAGTGTCCAGAAAAGCGCTATATAAGTGTAAGCAATTATTATTGTCTAGAGTGGCTCACACTTGTTTCCATCTCTCAGCCTGTCCTGGACCCAAGAAGCCTCAGCTCATGTGAGTCTCTAGGCCTCCTCAGCATCGTAAGACCAGCGGAGAAGCCTTGCAGTTCTTTTCTTCCACATTGTACATTTAGGAGGTGTTCAGACAGCGAGGCCTCCAGTGGTTAAACTACAGATAGGAGCTTGCTTCCCAGCATAGGCACCATCTCGTGAAATGCACTCAAGCATAGATGCCCCTTGTCCAAGCGTCTGTGATCTGTCTGTGCCGTTGACCTCCGTGACATTATTAAATTGCAATGCTGGAGAAGCGTTCAGTCAAAGCCAGGAAACTGAAACCCAGGCACTGGCTCTGAAGGCAAGTGTGTTGCCTCACTGCCAAAAGGCCCAGACTTGCTGACAGCTTGGGAGCACTTTTTCCTTCCAGCCATATTGCACAGGGCATGGTGTGATGCTGATCACGTCATAACACCTACAGCAGCTTCCCAATGGTCCACCATCATGGCATCATGACAGCGTGCATCCATGCAGACATGCTCTTTACACTATTATTCTGTTGCTGTATTTTTGTAGATCATTTCCTATATAGTATATTACCCTTATCATATTATTACCCTTCAGCATGATAGCATTCCATTCTTGATGAGCACAGCCTACTGAAGTAATGAGAAGTGAAAAACAAAACAATAAATCAAACTGTGCAAAATGTTAGGGAAGAGACCATCAGAGAACCTAATCCAGCACTCAAAATGTTTAAGGTTTTTAAACAAAGAAAATCGAATACAATTCTCCTTTTAACTGTTGAAAAGGATAATGGGTAATCCAAGGTCATTTTATCACACAACTCAAAATTTCATTCTCCTCATTATAGAAAGTGTTTATGTGTACAGCAATAAATTAATCACTATCTCAACACTTACTGAGAAATACTTATCAGAGATCTAAAAAAGAATCCGGAATAAAAATTCAATGTCGACCTAATGGGTACAAAAAATAAATTCCCTTAAACTCCTCCGCATGATCAGTCCCCTCAGATGGCTTCTGGTGGAGGTCGGTGGTTTCTGAGACAGTACAGAAATCACCTACTATGTCTGGAGCGCACAGCATCAGGCCTGAGGAGGTGGGCGAAGAAGACAAGGACAAACAACTGAATCCGTCTCCTCACATACAGAAGGGAAATCCCCACAGAGTCTGAGATCGAGTAACCTTTGCAGGAGGGATCTCCAGTCTAAATACCAATCAAGTCACTTCTGCAGGTGGGATCTGACACATTCCGCCCACATTACCAACAAAGACGGGTTTCTTTCTGTAAATAGTCCGAGTACAGTATCCCCCAGGTCTATTGTCATCTCCTGTTGGAGGAGGAAAGATACTGTATGAGTCAAAACAGATGGCCTCACCTTCCAGTTTTCACTTTGAAAATGCACCCAGAATCGTGGGCTTTAACAGGAGCGTCAAGCAGCTTCTCATAATGCGAAAACAGTTTATATCCTTCTGTTTCCTGTATTAAAAATCTCAATCTGTTCTTTAACTCATACCGAGACAGCCCAACCCTCCCAGAAGATGGTACTGTTTTGTCACTCTATAATTCTGTCTTCTTTGAGTCACAGCATTCCAGTTAGCTGTGTAACAGTGCTACAAGTCTGTATGGGCTAGACCAAGCCTTAGACATGTCTGCACACCATTGTAACAGCAGGGCAGAGAGAGGTCGAGCATGATAACACCATCAGGGCTGGTAAGGGCAGAAACATGGCCCTGTGCGACGGGACTGCAGGCTCCTGACAAGAAGATGGAGGGTCTCAGAGGAAACACTCCTGTTGCACCCTTGCCCTGTTGTATAACTGGGTCTGTGGGTCACCTCTGTAAGGGAGACTTTATGATTAATTAACTTGATGTGGTGAAATAACAAAAAATATGGGATAGTGAAACGCTATAAGTATTTCATACAAGCCCTCGGAAAACTGCAAATTTACAGTGGTACACACTTCGCATTTTTTACACACACATTCCTAATTAAAACAAAACAGCCCCCTCTCCCCCTCTGAGGAATCAGAAAAGGACAGAAACATAGACACACATTAAAGGCAATCACGAGAGTAAATATATCTATAACAAAACGTCTTGGGAAGAACAGCAATCTCATCAAGAACATGTGGCACATTTTCTGAGCAATCTATTAAAGAATTTCCTGTGACATAAATAATAATTTGTGAAACAGAAAAAGCACCTTTTTCTGCTCTTGAATTTGTGGATGTTCTTAAAAACTTATCAAATTAGCATGTCTCCATTATATACGTTTGAGGGGTGAGCTACGTCACCTATGTAAGAACAATTAAAGGTAAATTACTCCTGAAAAAGAGAAAAAATAAGTTTTCAACTGCAGAGTCTTCTTCAGGTGTGTGTAAGGCAGACAAAGGTAGCAGGGATATAAAGCACAGGAAAATAAAGGCCAGATCAGGTTCTAAACATCATAAAAACTGTCCTAGTCTTTTTCCAAATGTTTTAAAAATGTTCCCTTCGTCTCCAGTGCAGCACATCAATGTTTTGTCTCTGTACAGCTTTGTCCTCCTTCGACCTTCAAATGAGAAGGCAAATGAGATGAGGGAGCAGAAATCGGGATTGGGCTGGTCAGTGAACCTGAAACAGAAAGGCCCCTAATGGAATGTGCTGTCAGACGCCCTCGCCATTATATAACGGTAACCGGTTCTGAGCATTCCTCCATGAAACTGCGTCATCTGGCACAGCGCTGACCCTGAGAGGAAAAGCGTCTCTCCCTGCGAAACCTGAGGCCCAGAAACAGGTTTGTCCCAGCCAGCTGTGCATTGTTGTTCTGCTCACTGCTGGATAAGAAATGGCTCTGTGGCTTCATTTGCTCAATGTCATATTTATTCACATCTCTCAAGTGGAACAGCAGCTTCCAGGAACAGGATGTGGTTGTTTTCTACCCAGATTCATTTATTGCACACGCACATCTTTTGGGATTTTTTTCCAACATTAGAGCCCTGGCACTTCACAGAACCATTGCTCATCTTTCAGCATTGATC